GTGTTTGCGTGATGGGATTCGAGCGTCCTGCCTTTCGGAAGGAAAGGATTGGTCTGCACCGGCCAGTGCGGGTTGCGAAACGTCGTTCTCTTTTGTAGGCTGTCGTGTGTTCGTATGTGGAGGTCAGGCCACCGAACTGTCGAACGGGAGTTTGTCACGTCGGTTGATTAGTAGCATTCTCGTTCGAGCAGTGACGGGCTTCGACTCGATGATCTGCTGGACGGGGTGTGAAATCTCCTCAGGCGGGGCTTAGCCTGTTGGCTGGAGGAGGGAGTACCACTGCATGCGGACAAAGACGGAGCCTCGGAGGCAATTAGTAGCCTCTCGTAGCATGGTTTTGGGAAAGGTTGATTCTTGTCGGACCGATGGAAGTGAATGTCCGGACGGCTGACTTTGTCCCTGTATTTAGGCACTCGAGGTAACCCTCGGTGTCGGTATGGATGTGCAAAGCGGCAAGACAGAATCGGGTATTATGGGTAAGGAGGAAAGGACGAATGCCTTACCGAGACCTGGGTACCGCGCTCGCGACGGTTGAACTGCGCTTGAGGTATGGGATAAAACTCTATCGATAGTACCAGCGGAGAGACCATATTGGGGATGGCCGGTGAGGAGATGACCGGCCCGTATGTGAGGTTGCCTGATTTTTTTATGTGTTCCCCCTCTGTAAAAATTGATTGAGTTCGGATTGTTGGACGGGACATATTTCTAAGTTTATCTCCTCCCCCCCATCTAAGTCCACACGAGTGAGAGATGATCAGAAGGAAGAAGGATAGAGGTCAGTTGGAATGGAACCAAGAGAAAGAATGTGGGCAAATGGATGGCCGGCCGAGGGAATTATAGGAAGGGGGTACTTAGGAATGGGGAGGTAAAATAGGGAGACCTTGATGAGGGGTCTGAAATAATTCTCATCTAGGACAAGGGTTGACCTGCCCAAAAGGATCGGTTGGTGCCTTTTTATGAAAACAGGGGTCGGGTGCTGAAAACAAGATGGCGCGATGGTTGTCTTCCCCGATCTATACTAGCGGCCCAGAAATGCCAGCAGATGTAAAGGAAGGAGTATCGGTCGTCCTCCCGAAAAATGAAACGTGGACGGACATTGAACCGGCATACCAAACGGTAATGCTGGAAGGAGAGGATGTTTTTCTTTGGATAGAAACAGTATGGACTAATGTCAACTTGACAAGGTTGTCGCCAAGTTTAATGGATTTGGAATTCCGAGGAACAGTGGAAGCCCGGGGGTGGGTCGACTTGTTGCAAGATGGGGAGAAAGTTATGATCATAGAGTTGGCACTCGGGAATACACCGGACGAGTTGTTTAGGAAGGCAGAAGCAGAGGTTGTGTGGGATGCATGTCAACCGAGCGAAATGGAAATGGAAAAGGTAGACGTACGTGTGGAACTTGGGGATAGAGGAAGCATGAGGCGACCCGTAAGAACCATGCGATGTGTGTTGCCCCCCTTCCTAGTGGATGCGGTTTTCGGAACTCGGAGCAGGCTAGTACGGATATGTCAGTCCATGACGAACCTCGGGCTATACCAATGCGCTAGGCAAAATTTTTTTCGGTTATCAGTAGAAATGGGGCCGTTCGAGGGGAACTGGGCAGAGGAGCTGGCGGAGATACTAAACTGCCTCAGCATAGACAATATCTTTGTCCCTAGCGCTGTGCATTGGGGGATAGTCTACAGGAATGTGGCAATAGGGGAGACGTTTTTATACGGGGTAAGGGAGTTGGTGTACGACGAGGAGGACAACTTCAGTGATGAAGAAGAAGATGAAGAGATAGAGGACTGAGACTTCTAAGAGGGGTAGGGGGACTTAACTCAGGAAGGACTGGTGACCTGGTATTGTGCAGGAAAGGGAAAAATGACTAGAGAAGAAAGGATGATGGAATACACCTTCAAAGGTTGGGAACCATGGTGACTCAGAGGAGGAACATAAATGCCTATACTAACAGGAAATGGATGGAGGGGGACCACGTGCGACTGGATTGGGTTTGAGGTTGCCCGGGACTTGTCATATGTATGGATAGAGCGGATTTGGAACCCGATAAGGGAAGAGGAAGGTTGGGATGATATAGCAGAAGGCAAGGTAGAATCGGTCGGAACGATTGTCCTTTCCGAGGATGAATGACACCTGTTTTGTACCATGTTAGCAATGGGACAGGACCCGATGTGGCTTCTGGGGGATGCAGAGGCCCGAACCCGAAAGGAAGGCAAGCGGTTCACCAACGAGGGATGAGACGAAGTTAGTAGCAGAGTTGTGATGGGAGGATGAAAGGAACTTAAGCCTCCAAGTCTACGGATAACGGCTTGGGTACCGGAGTTCATAGCCGAGTGGTTTGGAGGGTTTGAGCACATTTTAGAAGTAGCTGACTCCATGAAAAAGGTGCATATAGAGTGTGTCTGGCTGACTAAGGAGTTCTATAGGCTCTCATTGAAATATGGGCCCTTCTAAGGAGATAAAGTCGAGGAAGTCATCATCGTCCTAAGAATAGGCAGGTATGACCGCCTAGAGATAGAGGCGGAGTCTTGGGACGCCATAGTTAGCCGGGAGGCGGCGGCCGCACCCTCCTACGTAGACGATGTCTTTAAACTATTTGAGGTACTGTGGTTCGTCTGAATGAGGCCAAGGGATCGAACACCGCGAAAAGGCCTGAGTATGGAGGGTGTTTGTAAATTGAGGTGTAACATAAGAAAGGGAGTGTGTACATTAGGCCGTAGATGGTGCATAAGGATCGAAACAAGGGGGAAGTGACAGCAGCTGGAAAATGGAGGGGGGTAGAATTGAACGTGTACGAGTTGGGGATAGCGGCAAGAACCAGTGTACGATAAGTAGGGAGGGTTGAAAAACTAAAACACGAAAGGCATGGAATCTTGGTAGGTGCAGCAATCGGACTAAGAAAGCCGGAAAGGAGACATTGCGAGATGACCCGACGAATGACGTTCTGGGAGGATAGACCTCGTGGGATCCTGCCACCAAGAATATCAGAAGGCAGGGTCGAAATAAGCCTGCCGGCAAGAAATGCGGTAAGCAATCCGGTAATGGACTGGGTGAGGGTAGAGTTGGTGGAAGATACAGTGTACCTAGTAGTGGAGCTGGAATGGCGTGCGAGAGGGGAGTTCGGGGGCGTAGACTTGAACCTCCCAGGGCGTGTACATGCGACGGGGTCCTTACACCTGTCGGAGGAGGGACGGCGGACCTTTGGGATTGCTTTGGCTTCCGGGGATGACCCCGTGCGAATGTTCGAAGGGGCATGGCAAATAACCTGGCGGGAGGGGTTTGAGTTTGCAGATCCAGAACGAGATGACGTGACGGCTGAGGTAAAAGTCGTCGCGGCATGGGTTTTTGAGCTACCAAATGAGATCATACGGATGAGTCTACCACCCTTCCTGCTAAGACGAATGGGAGGCATAGAACGAGTGGAGCAGGTGGTGACTGCCGTAACTAGGCTAAATTTTGACGAAGCATTAATGTATTGAGAATACTATCGGGTCTTCCTAGAGATGGGGCCTTTCGGGGACGAACAAGGGCGAGAGGTGCTTTGCATTCTACGAGCAGCGGTAAATACTAGGCCAGGAGTCCCACAGATAAGTGATGAGACCATGTGGAGAATCATCCGGCGAGAGGTAGGTCGGGGCGCAACCTACATAGATGGTCTCTACCGGCTGTACGAACAGCCAGAGTAGGCTACTGCTCCCAGGGGTATAGAGGGATAGTTGGGACTAGAAAAGAGAAATGAAAACACGAAGGGCAAGGGAGGCAGTAAGTGGGCGGATTATGAAGATTGGCTGTAACCCTTTCTATGTGGACTATGCAGGGAATCACCAAGGTAACAATGACAGCAAGACGTGAGCGAGTGGAACGCCAGCCCCGTGTGCGAATGGAACGCCATCCCTGGTACCCCGGACCGCCCTGGAACAACGGTGGACGATGGGAAGTATCCCTCCCGTCGAGTTCTACCTATCGGGGGTTCGACATAGAATGGCGGGCGGGGACTTTGGGAAGGGACGCCGCCTTCATGTTGGTAGAATGTCGATGGACAGGGATGAGACTCAACCGAGGACCCGGAGACGATCTGTTTTCCAATCTGGAAGTTACCGGGACCATGTATCTGCCTGAGATCGGCTGACACTCGTTGTGGGTAGAGATAGCACAAGGTCACGAGCTGGCGCTAGTCTTTCGAAGGGCTGCCCGGACGTTGACCCAGATAGGACAATCGGTCAGGGGAAGAAGGAACGTGGGCTTACTTACCCAGGTGGAAATGGAAGGTTGGAGGGAGTTCAGGGCACCGACCACACCGCTGAGATGCCGAGTGCCCCGTTTTATGATAGACCTCGTCTTCGGAAGCCTCGCGAGGGCGCGAGAGCTGGCAGACTCAACGATAGTCTGGGCAGGCCACTTTCCCTCCCTTACCATTGGGATATTCTACGATGTCGTTGTGGAGCATGGGCCGTTCTGGGGAAACAGGGCCCACAAATTACTAGAAGTCATCCACATCCTGATGTTTTGTACGCCCCGGCTAGACTGGACCGGGTGCGAACGCATAATCCAAAGGGAAATCGAGATAGGGGAGAATTATCTAACGGGGGTGGCTCAACTATTCGAGGAGCCTACCGAACCGGAAGAGCCACGAAGGCGAGAAAGGGACTAGCACCCGCAGGCGAGCCAGTAGGGCAAATCAAGCACAGTCCGCTACGTTCGAAGTCCACCGACAGAAATAGGAAAGGGGGGGGCCTCGGACCCGGATGATCAATAAGCGCCAGACAGGGAACACCGCACAGGAAAACTTTTTCTAGCGGGTTGCCCAACCCGGACCCCTACGCACCGACCAACGAAATAAGGGCGCTCTAAACGAGCCGGTGATAAGGGAAGCTAAGTCACGCCCTTAGCTCGGTGAGGCAGCAGAGCCGGACGCGGCTCCATATTAAGGAAGCCATCAGAAAATGGGAATGGGGAAAAGCCTAATTACCAAGTAAAAGGATAAACCAACAGGATTGGAACCTAGGGAACCTAAATGCCTTGCACTGCGTTTGTTCTGGGGAATCCTTTGGTTATGCAGAAGTAGGCAAGTATGGCAACGGAGGATGAGACGGGTAATTATGAAAGCGAGGGAGGACCAGGCTTAGGAGGCAGTGATGAGCAAAGCAAGGAAGGGCAGAAGGACAGGGAATCGACAAATCTGGATGGCACCAAAGGGAACCGGAAGGAAATGTCCTCAGGAGAAAGCTCGGGAAACGCCGGGGGAAGCAGACAGGGGGCCCAGCAAAACAAGGAGGACAGTAATAAGGATAGGGCGAGCCCCGGGAACTCGGAGGGAGCTATGTCTAAGAAAGTAAGGGTCACGGACGCGAGGCGCAAGCTAGCAGAAATAGAGAAAAGGACCGCGGAATACAAGGCAAGGTTAATTGAGGAAATGATGATTGGGAACGAGGAAGGCCCTCTGCAGGAGGTACCGCGGAACGAACGGAAAACCAGCCAGGGCGGAACTGGGCAAGGGGACAAGGGTAGTGACCGTGGGGGAACGCCGAGCAAAAGAAGGAAAGAGAGAGAGAACTCGCCGAGAATGGAGGCAGAGAAGGCAACGAACCCCTTAGCCACAGACAGTAGGGCTAGCCGTCTGCCGACCTCGCCAGTGGCATCGCGAGGATGCGAAGGGCTCTGGAGCCTCAGAGAAAGGGTGTTAGGTTGGTTCGACCCGGAAGGAACGACAAAGACTAAAGGGGGGCAGAAAGCCAGCAAGGAAAGGCCAGATACCAGCATGGCAAGCGAGGCCAGTAGCTCTGAAGGCGGTCTTAGGAAGATAGTATCATCCCTCACACGAGCACTGAACAAGAACCAAGGCTATCTGGCAGACACCAAGAAAAAGTTGACTATCGATGGAGCAAACATCACGGAGTTCCTGATCGACTACGAGAACCTAGCTGCGTTACTAAAGTGGACCGAGGTGGAAAAGATGGACCATCTAGGACAGCATGTGTCGTTAAGCCTAGGACGGAACATAATGGCCATTGTAGCCGCAAGCCGGTCTTGGAAGGAGACCCGGGATGTGATGATGAGGAAGTACCTAGCGGCAGAGAAAATGGCAACAGTGGCCGACCTAGCGGCAGTTCAGGGGAAGAACTTCGCAACGTACAATGATTTCCTACGGGAATTTACTCTAGTAGCACTAAGGATCCCCGGGGTCACGGACCGGATAATGAGCAAATATTTCCTCAGGCAGTTCTCCGAGTTCGACAAAGACAAGATTCTGTCAGCTTACCAACATACGAGCAAGTTCGTAAACATGCGGGATGTTGATTTTATCACGGTAACGGATCTGGCTGAGAAAACGGTAGTAACAGAAACGTTGGCCTTGCTCAAGGAAGGAGAGATCATAGATCTGACCGGTAGGGCGGGCGACAAGGTAAAGAAGGGGATTGAAAGTCTACATGAACGAGTGCACGGGGTCGACAATAAAATTAAACGGATGGAAGGCGCGCTATTGGTTATGCAGGCACAAGTATCCCGACCCGCCCTCCCTCCCCAGGAAGCTGTGGTTCCGCCAGGTGTAGCCAACCGGGGATTCGGACGGAGAGATCCTGCTTACGAGCAATGCAAGTACTGTACCGCGATAGGACATTATGTGCGCGCGTGCCCAAAGCTCAACCATGATATTATGAAAAGAAGGTGTACCAGGTCATTAAAGGGGAAGATATTTGGACCACAAGGGGAATGGGTGAAGTGGAACTCGCCAGGAGGGATGCGGCGAGCCATTATCATGCTCAACGGGTTAGAATAACAGTCGTAGAAGCCGAACCGGTGGGCGAGATCATCTGGGATCAACTCCGGGGGCGTGGGCCGCAGGCCAACTTTATTTTGGAAAGTGACGGACGTGATAGGGTGAACGCAACCACTCGATTGGGAACGGCCGGGAGAAGGATTAACCGTGACACCATTATGGAGGAGGTCGCCGGAAGCTCCGAACCCCAAGCAGAGCCTGAGGCCGAGGAACCAGAGAAAGTCTATGGGAAGCCTAGGGAAGAGGAGCCTGCAGACAAGGTTACCGCCGCTAAGAAGAAGTTTAGGTATCAAATCCCGATCTTAACCTTGCCTGAGCTCGACGACACCATTAACAAGTTACTAGGAACCATGGTATCGGTGTCTTTTCAGACCATGCTGCAGGCTAACCCTAGGTTGCTCAAAGGGCTCAGACAACTGTTGACTCGGAGGCGAGTAGAAATASGCGACAACCCCGAATTACCAGAAGGGGAGAGGGAGGAGGAAGCTCCGCAAGAAGTGGCTAACCTTCAGAGGAGTCACGGGGACTTGGAGGATCTCGAAAAAGCCTTTGCAGACATTCGTTTGAGCTTGCCCGACCGGGAGGGCGGCGAAGTCATGAGATCACCACCCGGGACAAAGCTTAGCTTTCATGCACTGCCCGTAGGGAAA